TCCTCCCAGGGCGGCCGAGCCGGCCGCTGTCGCCGGCCAGGTGCTGAACGTCACCCGGTAACGTCATCGGGCGCGAGGAGAAACCAGCCGGGAAATCGGTGGCTTACCCGGTGCTGTAACTGCCGCCGCTGTGGTGAACTACATGTGGGGAAAAATAAAGTTCGAATAGCTCCTGTCGTGTGGCAGAGGGCGTGTGGCCGTTTTACTGAGCCGCCCTCAAACATCTCCGTGAAGTCTGTCCCTGCTGGGGCAGCGGGACTGAGTGTGGGACCGCGCGGTCTGTAAACCAGCGAGTTACTTCTTCCCGCACTTACACGCTGCTTGCTGGCAACGTACGCTGCTACCAATTTTCCTGTATTTTATGATGGAGGACAGTTAAATATTTAGATCCATTTATCCTGTGCTTTTGAGAGCTGTATTGCAGTATCAGAGATGAGAATTGAAATGTGAGCGTTACCATTTGCCGCTTGATCATGGACATGAAACAGGATTGTTTGTGTTTGCACCCTATTAGTGTTTGCACCCACTCCTCTTTATGCTCCAAAAAGAGTTTTAAATTGCTGTTGAGGAAAATACTTTCCTCTGCTTTGATTTGCCTCATTGCCGAGTATGGTGGCTGTCATTCCTGTCCACCTAGCCGTTTCCACAGTATCAGCAGACAAAGGTGCCGAGGGGTCTTTCTATGGAAGGTAATTTCGAGGCAAATCAAGCACCCACCCCCAAGAAGCTCGATGCTTCCAGCTGAGGAATTGGTGTGTTGTAACAAACCAAGAAATACAAGGGAGGAGCTGAGCTTGCGGAATTTAATTTACCTTGTAGTGGAAGTAGTGATATGAGGTGACTGTCATCTGCAGTCCACTATAATTTATATCTGAAAGTATTTGGTTCTTGGTGTTATGTATACTTTACCTGCTCGGTTTGTTGGACAATGAGGCTGAAAGGTGGGTAGAAATGTCTTCCTTCGTTCAGTAGCATATGCCTACAAAACAAATATTCATATACCAATGTGGATTGACTACTATCACTTTTAGGCCTGAATAGAACAAATTAGATCATAGAATCATGAAGTGGTTTGGGTTGGAAGGGACGCTAGCTAAAGATCATCTAGCTCCAACCCCCTTGCCCTGAGCAGAGAAGATGGTTCTATTTATTTTTCAGCATATCTTACCCAAAGTTTTCCCTGGAAGATGGGTATCGCATGACAAGTGTTTTGAAAATGCTTAAAGGAAATTGAATTCCTTTCCAAATTTGATAGTAATAATTTAAAGTGTAGATAGTACGTTTCACCTTGAAAAGCCTCCAGGGGCCTTGGGAAATAGATCTTTCCCCCACCTTTAGGAATTTACATGTCGGTTATGAAACCAGTTGCAGACTGACACAGCATACTTCAGAAAGGCAGCAGCAGAGAGATTCTTCAGTTATTGTACTAATGTACAAAATAACAACCTCCATTCGTATCAAGTCTAAAATGTTTTAAAGCAGCATAAGGTGGAACTGGGTCTGGGAAATTTTAACCAAAGATAACCACGTAAATGCAATCTAAAAAGTCGGTGCAGGCACCGTCTAACATCCCCATGGACAATAAGGGTACTGTGCTTTAGGCCTGCAGCTGGTTTTCTGACGCTGCTTCTCAGAGGAGTGCTGCCGCCATTTGCAACTCTTTGTACTGTTCAGAAGATGCGATACAGCTGGTGCTTGCTTTTTTTGTGAGTGACCCTTAGAAGTGCAAGGAATGAAAACTTTTGAGCTTGAAGTCAGTTTACACCTTTCAATCTAAGTACATTGATGCTAAGTCTGGTTTTAATGCATGAAGTGTGGCATAAAAAGTGCAACAGCAATATAGTATGAAGTAGTAAATCACTACAAAGTTACGCTTCCAGTTCAGCTTTAGTTATAACAAATGGTTGGGTTAACTGGCTTTATGTTGGGTCTGTATTTTTTTGTCCCTTTGCTGTCAGGCAAAACTGGCATAGAAGCATAAAGACAGCAGAACCTCAGCATCGTATGTTTGGGCTAATTGTTCAAAATCCAGTACAGCAATTGTGGAAGCACAGCCTCAGATTAACATTACTTACAGTTCATATTTACAGTCCGTTTAGGTTTTGAAAGTTGTTTCCCCAACTATATGTATTATATTTTGTGAGTGATTTTCTGCATTACGTTGTTATATTGACATAACTCCCTTGCATGGACATTGGACTCTTTTATTGGCTTACCTTACCTACAGCTGCTTCCAAGGTGACAAAAGCTAAAAAAGCATCGTGTAACACTTTAGTGTCATCCAATTTCAGAGCAGTGGACTTCTCTGGGAAGCAAAGTCCATAAAAAATCCTTGGCACAAAACTGTCCTTTATTCACTGGCTCTACACGTTTTGTTGTTGTTCTTTGGGAGGAACAGGGATTCTCCAGGCAAGGTGAAGACAGGGGAAGTCATATGAGAAAGCATCAAAATGTGCACATACGTAATGATTAACACTGGAACCTGCAACTGTCACCACAATTAGACTTTAATGCAGCTGAGGACCTGCACCTTTATTGTTTGGTTTGTTTGAAGGAAAGAAAACTTGCATTTTGTTGCCTAATACAGCAGTAAAAGGGTATAAGGGAATGAGTCCATTATGAATGAGCTCAAAAGATCTTTCTAATGTTTTTATGATGGGGGGGGGAGAGAAAACCACGAGATGGTCCATATGCCTTTTAGACAATTTGCATCTAAGTTGGAGTACCAAACTGTTGTTTTGCCGTGCCTTCTGTGAAGCATTCCAGTACTTAAATGCTTATCCCTACCAGTAAGTTCTGGTTTTCAAAGACTAGAATACCTGCCTCTACCTGAGAAACAGGTAGTCACATTTTACCTCGTCAGTATAAATGGTGACAAAAGGTAAGTTTAGAGAAAAAGTGCAAATGGTGTGAGACTACAGCCATTTTCAGTGGTTGAAAAACTGCTGTAAGCTTTCCTAAAAATGTGAAATATGCTGAAAGTAGAAGCCAAAAAGCCTTCCTTTGTATGACCCTCCCAAATGTCTGGAATTTGTTAGCTTTCCTTAAGCGTGAGAAAGAGATTTCCAGTCATACAGTCTTCTTTGACATGAAAGCACTGAATGCCTTATAAATTATGTCAGATTTCCAGCTTTGAGCTTCCCCAAGTTTGATTCCTAACTTCTAATGCCACCCATAAAAATGAGACGGGTAGTTTATGTTGCGCTACACTGAAAAAATGAATTTTCTGTATCTGTGTGCTCAAAAATGTATCCTAAATTCAGTGGAGGGTTTGGGTAACATTTAATCCATAATAAAGTATAGATGTATAATTTGCGTTCACGTGTAATATTTGCCTCATAATACATAGTAAAATTGTGAAGGCTATAAATCCATTCATGGCAAAGGCATTTAAGGAAGTGCTACAGACATGCCCTTGACTGAGCTGATAGGGAAATGTTCTTGGCGAAAGCAAATGTAAAAAACTTGTATGAAGTATTAATTCAGTCTTGGTGCACAGGGAGTTTCACATTGACAATAATACTCTCCCTCAGAAAGGCAACAGAAACTGGAAAGCATTACTATAAATAAAATAAGCAGTTGCCTAATCATTATGGCACAGTGTAACTACACTTTTTAGAATCGCTCACTTCTTCATGTTCTTGATTAATTTAGAAAAATTAGGTGGCTTTTTAACAGCTCTAGCTTATCAGAAGCATAATGCAAGTAAAAATGGCAAAGTGACAAGAAAAAAGTAGGTCTTACTATAATGAGGCATATCACTTCTAGAGCATATCTCTTACAGAAAAGGTGACATCTCCTGCTGATTTTTTACGGGGGGACAGGCTGGGCGACTGGACCCGCTGGGGAACGCTGCTGTACCTGTGCCCCCCAACGTGGGAAGCAGGCAGGTGGTCACCCTTGCTGTGAATGCAGAGGCGCCCAGCACTGTGGGTACGGCTGTCCCCAGGCAGGGAACGAACCGCGCACAGCTGCCTGGTATAACTTCTAATTACTGCTGACATTGCGACAGACAAAGGCCTGTACCAACGAGGACTGAAAACAGAAGTGTCCGCTCCTGCTTAAGCACACTGACAGAAATGAAGTGAAAAGCACAATTCACAAGGCATCTTCCCACACTGAATCATTTCCAAACAAGCATTATTCGGATATCTATTTTTATCACATGCAGACAGGAATAGTGCAGAAGCTGTATTTACCATATGTAGGCTATAACTTCAGCTCCAAGATTTTTGACCTTTATGTGGATTTAAGTTATTGTCTATATTTAGCTAGTAATAATTTAATAAGAAAAAAAAAATCTGTGTTAAGAGATCAGTCAGGTTACAAAAAGAAGCATTCAAAAGTTAGAAAGGGACAAAAGCGCAGAAGAACACGTACTGTAGAAATGCTGGTGAGAAACAAACACCCACCAGCGGACTTGAGTGCTTCAGAATCAATGGAGTCAACTCGACAAAACATCTTTGAGAGTACAGAGAATTATTATCCCCATTTTACCAACAGGAAATCAAGAGAGCAAGTTTGCACATAGCTAAGGTGCATTTATTCTTTCATTTAATTTTGAAACTTCACTAGATTATTTTGATCTCGGGACAGCAGGCTCTCCCTCCAAAGAACAGCTCACAAAAAATTTCAGTGAACCACGGGTGGTTGCGGTTGTTGCTGAAAGGGACGATCCTGCTCTCTGTCTCGTCCCAGGCCACGCACTCCTGACACTTCCTCGTGTTGGACCTAGCCACTGTGCTGCCAGATCTGCTGCTGCTGCTGCGCAACCCCACAGCGTGGTCCAAGCGGAACGGGGGAAGCGCGCGGGCAGGGAGGGACAGCGCAAAGCCAGACTGACCCAGTCGTGACAGCCTGCACCCACAATGCGTGTTGTGTGAAACTGCTCCCCGAAAGCTTCGACTCCTATTAACAGACCTTCTGTACTGTCATTAGAGGAACCCCTCACTGCGAGCCAGAGATACTATCCAGCGACGACCCGGAACGCTTAGAGCAGCGCACCTGCTCTGGCAGCGGTACAGGAATGCGAGCGGATTGCCACTACTGCTTGCATCCAGCTCTCTGATGGATGGTAAAGCAGAGACATAAGAGATTTTGTGGGATCAGGGAAACATCTAACAGATTATGCATCCAATAAAAAAGGACTAACCACATAAATTGAAACCCAGTCAGCACAGGATGTAAGGCAGTCCTCCCCTTCTACTCAGAGCTGGTAAAGTCTGAGTCAGCTGAAATACTGTGACCCATTCTGGGCACTTAAAAATGCAGCTCATTTGGAAAGACTCCAGAGGCAAGTGATACAAATAATCGGAGGCCCAGCAAACATGGTCTGTTACTCTAGAACAGCTATGGAGAGGCATAATGAATTTCAAATATGTGAGAAGTAGCTATAAAAGGGAACAGAAAAATTGTTCTCCAGTGTAACAGCACGAGGGCTGGGTTTAAGTTACCTCAAAAGACACGTCAGGGTTCAACTACACTTAGTCGCTTCGTAATGGTGAGGATAGCCAGGCACTGGAATAGGGCACTTAGGGAAGACGCAGAATTTCTTTGTTTGAAAGGTTCTAAGGGTATATGGAACAAATATTAGCCCGTAAAAACAAAAATATTTATTTTAAAAAACGCCATGTAATTTGATGACTCTTCTGAGTCTGGTTTCTAAGACTTCTGTATTCTCTTAATTTTCTGCCATGGATTACCACACTAATAATCAATTCTTACAAACTTAGAATCTTATCTCTGGCACGTTTCTCTCTGTCCCTCCAATTCAGGCCCTTAGCAAGCTATCTGTTTCCTTCCTGATGAAATTTCACTAAGTGCCATGCTTTCCAGCCCATCCAAATCACTGAAGTATTACTTCTTGGACAGGCTGTCTCCTTTCTGGACCAAAATTGCGTACTTCTTGTGCCGTTCTGCCTCCGGCACCTCGACGTGTGTGGAAACGGCTGCTCTTGAGAACATTCCTCTGTTCCACTGCCTAAATCCAAGAGAAACGTCTCCCCTGGCACCCCGCTCCCCCCTCCCTCCACACCAGGGTTTGGTTTACCTTCGGAGTTCTCAGCAGAGCTCTTGGCTCGGCCGGACCATTTCCTCTCCCTGCGCTTACTTCCACTCATTTTTTCACGTGAACTTCTGTACTGAAAACAGGGTCTACCTGCCATTTTTTGGGGCCTCTGTCCCATTTAAAATGTAAAGCTCTGCTCTCTACACATCTTCCTGCGCCAATGGCGAGGAAGCAGAGCAGTGTCCTCCTCTCCTTTCCCCGCATCCAGCACTTCCCCCAAACCGCTGCTGCCGAAATCTGACATCCAGATGCTTTCCAAGCACCTGTTTATTGCCTTTCTCTCCCCAGGCTGCCCCGTCGGTGCCACTGTCCAGACGGCTCCCATCTTAACCTCTGCTTTCCCCCTCCGGCTCGAGCAAAAACAGGAGCCTATTGGCTTGGGGGGGGAAAGTGGAGTGAGAAGAGCGACGTCCCTCCGTTTCCTCCGAGACGAATCCACTAAAGGCCCACAGGGAAAAAAAACCACATGACC